TTACTACACTGTTTCCTAATTCTAGTAACCGTATGTGAAAAACTATTATCTGAACTTTGACCACCTGCTGACTGATCATCATAGGAATGATATAGAGGTGTAGCAAGATCTTTTGATGCAGCATGTTGGCATACTGTTTTACCTATATAATCGTTATTACAATCCGGTGCCCTACAATGTATATGGTGATTTTACGAAGGCCGTATAATGTTAGCTGATCGATTAGTACAATCAAAAAGAAGTCTGCAGTGCAAGATTCTTTTTATTATGTTGACATTATTCGTTTACTGCCTGTTGGAAATTATATCATTTGATGACTGTAACTTGTTTACAAGAGTTCCTTTAAGACGAAACAATCAACATAATTTGGGACAAACTATATAAATTGATCACAGTTGTTCAAATCATCATCGATATCAGACGTACTGGTGTAGGAAATGTATTGACAGTGATAATTTTAATTTTACTTCACATGACAACTGAAGAAACTCATTTTACGTTAAATAATAGAATGTATGAACAATATAATGAAGTTACAATGGGCTTCCCTTTAGGCCCAATTTTAGCTGAAATTTATACATCCTATTTTGAACAAGAAAATATGGCTAAATTGCATGATGCTGGTGTTAAGCATTGGTATCGATACGTTGATGCTACTTTCACTCTGGTTTATCGTATCGTTGCATAAGTGTGTTATATTTTACGTTTGCTGAAACGAATATTTTCTACTGGCTACTATCTTTTTCTCTCTTCGTTCTTTGTCTAGTTACAGTATATATACTGCATTTTCTTATATTTTTGCAATGATTTTATTCCTTGATACTGGATTCATGTGGAACCGAAATGTCGGTTTCTAATAAATTTTGATGAGCCGCTGTTGTACTCATATATTTATTGCCTCTAAATAACACGAATTTTGAAAACCATGAGGCTGAAGCTGAATGAAAGGTTATGAGATTAATTTCGCAACTGACGATAAGATTCCTTTGCAAAAATACAGTTGTCAGTAATAATCAGAATCTAAATATTATGTACTCAAAGCGAATACTTGCCTGCCATTCCATAACCAGTCATCGACGTTGTAAGAACTAAGAAAAGGCCCGTTACAATTGGTAATGGCCTACTATAGTATCTATTTAACGCCGTAACTTGATAAATTGCATAATTTGTACCAGCGTTAACAGCAACCATAGCAGTGACTAGTGCATGTTCTTTAATGGTAAATGGTCCTGGATTTAACAAAATATTCCATTTAAAAATTTTGATTGGACTTTTTGGTAAAATACTTGCCATAAATCTACCAATTGGCATTGATATTAGTTGAAAAATGATAACATCAAGACTGAGTGGAAATCTTCTAAATGAAAAGATTGTATTCATTATTGCCATGATTACTGTAAGTAATAAGCCTAAAACAATTGTCCTGAATGTTAAATATTGCATTTTGTCATCAGTTATAATTGGTACATTTTGCGCTACTACTTCATATCGTGATTCTTCGATGCATTTAAATTTTAATAAATTATCGGTTAACAAATCACTAGAGTATATAGGATCTACATTGATACTGTGTCTGCGGTTGGATTCTGTTGTTGTTTGATTGGAGCTTGCCGATTCCTTTTCAGATGGTAACGACACGGTGAAGATATCTGGCTGACCGTTATTTTGAGTAGAAACAGACATTTATTGTCGAAAAATAGTATTGATACCACACAAATAGTTATGATTCTAAAATCAGGTATTATTAGCTTACAAATCTAATATTCACAACTAAGTCAATTAACAGGAGGAAATCTCTTCTTTCAAACAACGTGAGGTTTTAGTTCGAAGAGCATATCAAGTCGCATATATTCTAAACTTCTGTACGTTTTTAAAACCACGGAGAATTGTAGCGGAGAAAAATTTTAAAATTAAAACTAAACTTTGATTTTTAGCATACTTAAACAAAGCAGGTTCACTAAAGAAAACTGTCCTCTACAAATTTAGTCAACCCAAAAATCTGTCTAGTCGATATTTCAGCCTCTGTCTCGGATTTTAAAATGAATATTGACAAGTGGGATTTTAGGAAAAAATCCATTTGAATTTTGGCCAGAAGTCATCTTTTTGCTTCAGGAAAAGATCATTCTGAGGCAACTTTGTGCCCTCATTCAACCGGCATCTTTCTCCCGATTTTTCATAGGAGTTTCCAAGTTCGAATTATTTGAATTTTTAAATTTAAAACTTCTAAATAGTTGTAAAATAAAACTTTTTCTATAGATAGGTAGCTGAGAGTTTCCTCTATAAATATCTGCAAGTTACTTTTATCCAGAGGACATTTTGGGAACAGAAAATGATCAAACATGCAATTGGATCTTCAATTTTAACTCTGACAAGACCGAATGTTAAAGGAGCTTTATTGTACTAACTTAGAAAGTTAGCCATTGCACATGTGATTCGAGCCACTAAGACATAAGTAACTTAACCAGATTTATTACATGGCGTAACGGTGATGAGATTAGACCACAGCATCTTTAAGATGCGTACCGAATAGTATGACTACCAAGCCATGCTAAACCTCATCAACAACTGGCTATAACTGACTCAAAATGAACCTCTCATCGCGCGACAGTAATCTGCTAAAAGACTTGCAACTACGATTATAGTTAAAGACTTCAGCTATTTACAAGATACATACTGGAAATGCTTTCCACGCTTGTACTACCAAATCCAAACTGTCATCATCAGTATTGTCGCTTAATGTCTTTCTTTAAAGTAATA